TACGGCAAATTCTCACCTACATCTCACCAAAGATACAACAAACCACACACCGCAGCATCTCCGTCTGAGATTTTCCACGCCCAGGCTAACTCATGACAATGTCTACCGGCGTACGGAACCTCTTGCAAGGCCTGGCTTTGCAAGTTCGAGACTGAAAGTTCACGGCTCATACGGCGCTCTACGCGCGACTGGCTGCTCTACTTTGACTTCGTAAGGACAGAGACAAACGACTGGGTGGCAACACATCTTGTAACGAAACCCTAAGCCCTAAACCCCAAACCCTAAACTTTAGCGAAGAATGACTGCAATCAAAATTTATACGAACATCCTCAACCAATCCTGAGCCTTGAGCCCTCGACTAAACCCTGAGCCCGTAGCCTTAAAGGGCTACCCTCAGTCATGCTGAGTCCAAGCGCACAAAGTTGAAGAGCGGGCATTTTCAAGGGCGGAGCCGAATGTACAACGTACCATTGTGGTCTACATGCACAGTCAGTTGAAGTCGAAGGACCAGGATGCATCTTCCTTGATATCAACCTCACCAAGCGGCACAACCTCAAGGGCTTTACATCACAGGTTTACGGATGGATGCGCATGGAATGGATACTCAGACGCCAGGGTGCGCCTACAACAGGCACCTTCGACAGAACTCAACGGGCTGAAACAGCATCTCTACATGCTTACCCACAACCATGGCCCTTCGTAGGTTTCTGCATGGTCAACTCAAACGTGTAAACCGGCCAAACTCTAAACCCCGCAAGCTGAACTTCAGCATGAACCCTCAAACCGATTAATCTCTGCGCTCTAAAACTCAACACTGACTTTCTGCCCACCTTGAAACGCTGGTGTGCCCATCCATGCGCGTAGTCCTGCAAAATGGGAAATGCAGGGCAAAGTGTTCTCGAGGTTTGGAGAAAAGGAGTGTGGGGCAAGAGTGCTAGTGCTGCGGCTCAAGGCTGCGGTAAGGTCCACTCTCCTAAAGCACCACCCGGCAAGTCCTGGACGTTCGCTACATGCCCCTGCGTGTGAGCACCAACCATTGTGACAAAGCCTCAAAGGCGGTCTCGTGTTCGGAGTGTGCGGTTTGCATGACTTCAAAGTTCGGTGTAGGGTTGAGGGTTTACAAGCTACCATACACTTTCTTTTGAATGCAAGTCTAGTAGAAAGTTTTTGGAAACACTACAGCAAGGTAGGTCATGAAACTTGAAGAAGGTAAGCCTCTAAACCTCAAGCTAGCATGCCAAGCTTGTCAACCAAAAAAACCCCGCAACCACCCAGAAACCCTAAACCTTGTTGAACGGCCTACATCTCACACGCCTCAATCCCAAGTATCTCTTGCAAATCCAGCACTCGGGAAACTGGCAAAAACAAAGAACGCAAGTCTCCCACGCAAAGCTCACGATATCAACAGCTAAACCTTCTAAAAACCTCTGCTTGCAACTTCAACACGCCGAGACCCCAGATCCTAAATCATTAAAATGCCCATGAAAACGATAAACCGCTTAAATGCATTGAGAACCATTACACATGCCAAGCAAAACAGGAAGGAACTGTTGTGAGGGTGGTTGTGCAGCGCAATCTCGAGATGTCCCCCCGGCACCACAGCGAAGCGCTCCCAGTCCCAATTCCTTAAGGCGGGCGCGTTTAAGCCTCTCCTTTTTCTGTTCTGTCCCTTGTGGCTTGGGGTGTAGGGGCCTCTTAGGGTTTAGAGTGCATGGTTGTGAGTTTGAGGGTCTCAGGTTTGAGGGTTGAGGGGTTTAGGGTCTAGGGTCTAGGGTTGCAGGTTCATGGTGTCCTTTGGTTTTCTCTAAGGAATTCTCACGGATTGGGGTGTCAGAGCAGAGTTGAAGGTTCCGAGGTATTCGGATCCCCAAATTTTATAGATCCGTAAACCCTAAACCCTGGCCCGAAGGCCCCACACTCTATAAATGGAGGGTCCTTTCTCGTTATTCTGAGTGCCGCTGGGAATCTTCGGAAGAGCGTTCACAGCCGTAGGAGGGCTCACCCCCAACGTGGTGCCGCCGCGCATGGACACGAAGCGGTTGTGGACGGCGCAGTGCCTTGAGAACAGCCAAATCCATAAAGAAGGAAATACATATTATCGGATCCTTAGCGTGGTTTAGGCAAACACTGAAGGCTTCCAAGGTGCAGAGCAATGAGGCCGTTCCCACCGTCAACCACCGTGAATTGCTCCCAAGTCCAGTCCGCAGGGTAGCCGGCCTTATTGGCCAAGTGGTGTGGATGCTCCAGACTGGCGTCCATGAAGGTCCCGTGCATGCGGATGAACCTTCTCCAGTAGGTGTTGTAGAGGGCTACCACCATGCCGGGCTTGATGCCTCCGTAGTGACCCGTCGGAACGATCTGGAATCGCTCGTAAGTGAAGCCAGCCGGAAACTCGCTCGAAGCCGGAACGCTGGCGTCCATGAAAGTGTTGTGCAGCCTCAAGTAGCGACCCTCGGCTTTGTTGTACAGCCCGATGGTGTTGTCCGGAGCAGTGACCTGGTCCAGTTCAAGGCGACGCTTCTGTGTCGGCTACATAAGCCCTACTGCTAGGAGCGCTTCCGTTTCGGAAATCTCCACCTCCATGAATCGTGCCTTGGCCCAGTCCCGGTTGAATGCCTGGGCCGGCGCGGTGTTGGTGGCCACGCACGTGTGTCCTCTTGCTGGTGCTTACAGGGGAAATAAGACAGTGGGATCCCTTACAAAAACACCCTATCCATTGAGCACCAGGACGTCCTTCCATCCACACAAAGCGATTCCACTTGGGATTGTGGAAGGCAACTTCGCCGTTCCCGGCGTCCACCACGGTGAAAAGCTCCCATTCCCATCCCGCTGGCCAATCAAGACCCTGGGGCCCGCTCGTGTCCATACCCGCACCGGAGTTCATCCTCATGG